GCTGCTCCCCTTAGCAGTGTATTTCATTGATCTGCCTGTTCTGCTCCCCACTCTGTCTCTGGTGAATCCTCTCACCCTCTACATCTCTGGCCTGTACCCCAGTTCTGTATGAATAAATAAATCTTTAAAATCATCTAGGCTAAAAAAAAATCATCTAGGTCAAATGCCTAATAAGATATTGAAATGCAAGTTACATAGTTATATAGGTTGCCACAAAAAAAAGGACCAGAAAAATCCCAAGAGCTTCATAGAATAGGTAGGACACACAAACAGCTTGTCTAACTTGGATGTGTCTTCTCCCCTGGCAGAACTGTCCAGCTCAATGGTCAAATTCTGAAGATGGTGGATGATCAAACCCTGCCAACTTTGACAGAAAAATCTCTCCGCCCTGGGAGTTCACTGGGTTTACCAGCTTTCTCATATGGGTTTTTTGTGATAAGAAATGCCAAAGTTGCAGCTTGCCTCTGAAAATGAAAGTCATACAGTAATGCTGAGATTAAGCTTTACAAGGCTATGGAACAAAGGCAAATGTCAAGCTACAGAAAAGCAAATAGATACCTTATAAATCATCTAAGGGTGCTTTGGTGACACTGGGACACTCAGTGCTAGATTTGGCAAATATTTTGTTCTGTTCTCTCCAAGTAGACCACTACTAATAATAATAGCTAGTAACACCTTGTGCCCAACACTGTTTAGTACTTTGAGACTATGTTTTTTATTTAAGGTTATTAAAAATGCACATCATTGATCCCAATGCAGCCAGAAGGCAAATATGTGAAGGATATATTATTTGAAGAAGAAGCTTGGTTGTTGTTTTTTTTTTAAACAATTATTGAAGATTGTTAGACTTTTTTCCTCCATGAACTGTTCCAATGGGCTCTCATCAGAAAAAGTTTATTACCATCACGTCCAAATAAAAGAGAGACAGTCTTCTTACAGAGCTCAACTTAGCTGCTGTTTTTTCTATTGTTTGTCTTTGTCAGGAATACCATGTGATGAAATTGGTTAGATGAGCTGGTGTAAAAACAATAATTAATAGCAATTCAAAGGGAAGAAATCAAGAGGAGAAATTTTCATTCAACACACTGTAACTATCTGTTAATGTTTACTTTTATTCTATGCTTAGTTCACGTTTAGTTGGGAAGTTTAGTTCACTACAAGTTATAGAAACTCCTAATTCAAATGTCTGAAGCAATAAGGACATTTATAATCCCATAGATCAAGAAGTTGAAGAAAGGTGGACTCCACAGCACAGTAGGTCACCATGGAACCTGGTTCTCTCTGTACTGCCACTTTCATTTTGGCTTCACTCTCAAGCTGGTGGCATAATTGAAGTAGCTAGTCCATGATCCATTCAGACCTGGTGGCAGCCAGAGGAAGAAGATGAGCAACTTGGTCTGTATCTCCTTCATAGGCTTGAAGAACTTTTCTCAGAGGTTCTCCTTGTAACCTTCATATCTTAGGGTCGGGAGTGGGTCACATAACCACTTCCCTAATCATTAGCAATATCAACAAGAATCCTAAAATTGTCTCCTAGTTATTTTAGATTGGAAAGGATTTGAGAAAATCAATGGTACTAACCACTGATTTTCATCAGTGACAGAATGCACTGTTTTCTCCTTGATCTTAATTTTTAGAAATAGAATCTCTTTATATTTATGCCTGCTATGAATATTGTCTCAAATAAAGTATATCTATAAAGAACTAAAGCTGGAAATGCTTCACTACCCTTAAATTTTATATGTAAGTGGTTTTTATATTTTCACACTTGAAATAAAGTAATTTTTATAGCCTCAATATTGCACAATTTTTCTTTTAATAAAGCAAAGCTCACAGATGGCTACATTTGGAAGTTGTTTTCCTTTACCACTTTGTTCATTCAACCCTCCCACCCTCCTAACCCCCACACACATCCACACTAAAAGAATTGACCTTGAAGAAAAGAGATCACCTGGCACAAATACAATTTCCTACTTCATCGGGTATATTCAGTCACAATTTGAATCTGGTCTTGTTTACTTTTTCCTCCTGCCCCATCTACCACTTAATAAATTCAAGATCTCATTTCTCACTTGCATTATGATGATAATCTCTAGTTGTTCTCCCTGGCTTTGTTTAAAACTCTCAAATGGTTTCCAGTTTCTTAAAGGCACATGAGGTCCTCCCTAACCTGGCAGGCCCTTGTTTAGCTCCAACTCTTGTCAGTCTCTCAGTGGCTTCTGATCACCAGCCCACACACTGAGAAATGAGGGAATACAGTCTTTTACATGTGTTCCTGTGCCTCAGGTGCTGTGGTCTTTCTTCTCCTGAACTGACCTGCTGACTCTCCTTCCTCTTTAGCAAACTTTCTTGTTTATAAAGACCCAGCTCATACATCAGTTTCCCAACCCAGTACCAACCAGACCTAACCCTGTTAGCTTGCAAGGCCAGACCAATAGGGCACTTTTAGGGTGATCTGAACATAGACTCACCCACTTTAGTTTCAGTACCTCCCTACAATTCAAATAGTTTTATGCATATGTCTTTTTTCCTATGATAGTCTATACATTTACTCTTTATTTCATGATGTCCTTCTGGCCAAAATTCTGATAACCAACAAAATTTAACAAATATCCATGTGGCTTATATGATAATGCAATACAATATGAAAACTGGGGGAGACACAATACTTCCAAAATACAAACAAGGTGAATCAATGTTACCTCAGTAAGTTTTTTTTATTTAAATGAAAAGTGTGTTTAAAGCTAAAATTAAACAATAGTGGCACAAATAACTAATTACAACTGTATATGCCATTAAAATGATATAGATGATATGTAGACAGCTTGTGTAATGTGTGCCTTAAAAAGCAAATTGTATACATTCCCACACTTGCTCGATCCTGAAGTCAGATATTTGGGTAGTAGTTTCTTTCAGGGATGAGATACTACTGTCTTATCCCTTTCCCATTTTACACATTCTTAATTTAATAGAGTCAAAAAGTAAAGACTTAAAAATAAAACCTTTCATTGTCATTAAATGCTGTAAGTTTTGTGATACCATTCATCTTTGATCTAAGATAACATACTTATTTTCTCTCATTTGATAGTTTTTTAAGTTAGTTTTAACCTTTATGGTACATTTAACTTTTTTTTAATTCCCATAAATTTCTTCCAAAGGACAATAACAAGTGTAGTTTATTGATTCTACAGCATTATACACTTAACAAGGAGAAGTTGCAAATTTAACAGATCCCTCCGAAACACATTGAAAAAAATCCCTGTTCAACTAATAAATCACATAGAAGTTTATTAGGTCAAGTTTCCTAAACATTTAAGTATCTTTTAAAAATAATGATAGTAAAGTCTATGTAAGTACTACCTACACAAAAGTATCATCTCTTTATCATAATGTTACAAATGTACTCCAGCCAGAGTTAATACAATTACCAATTCAGATTCATTACAACAGAAATGGGATATGGATTCACTCATGTATTGGGCTCAACCCTTCTTCTGTTTAGGTTTTAGAGGTCATTCTATAGCAAAGCCTGAGACAAGGATTTTGGGTCAAGAAGCAGGGATGACTGACCAGAGCGAATGAGATTGAGTTGGAGGGAAAGTCACTACTAAGGTTTGTCACCAAGTTTGCTTTATTAGCAGTGAGAGCGCTGTTCCAACAGTATAACTGAGAAGCAAATGGGATGCTGGTCAGATTTTTTATCTTCTTATTCTTATATTTCTTAAGAGCTGCCATTCTAGCATCACTTTTTTAAAAAGATTTATTTATTTATGCACACAGAACCAGGGCACAAGTCAGAGGTGTGGGGGGTGGGGTTGAGGGGGGCAGGCAGTTTAGAGGATTCACCAGAGACAGAGCAGGGAGCAGAACAGGCAGATGTACTGAAATACACTGCTGAGGGGAGGAGTGGGTGGGTCAGGAGAGGTCTGCCGCACCATGTGGGTCACCTCCTTGGCCAGGGATCTAACTCATGCTGCAGTGGATGCTATAGCTTCATAGTGCTGTGCTTTAACCTGTTGTGCCACGACGGGAGGGCCCTTATAGTCACTTTGTTAATGGCAGTTTCTATAAAAATGCTAATTTCACATAAAATTGTTTCAAGGCTTGAGGTAGTTACAGTTAACTATAGTACTTAAATTTTAAAGTCACTTTTACAACTTTAACTTGTCATTTTGAGAGTAAATGACATTTTTTAAAATGTGAAACACCTTTTTTAAGACCTTCCCCCAAAACTTTCCTTTTCCACTGCATTGGTTTTTCCAGGATTTTTCATCTCTTCTATTGATCTTCCTACATTCTGAAATTCCATTCTTATTTAAAGTTTAAATTTTGATCTTCTGTTCATTGAGTTAAGTTGTAGGACACTCAGTTGGTATTACAGAATTACTTATGTTTAAAAAACTCATACACCTGTTATCAAAAGCTAAATAGTGTAGCTTAGTATTAAGAGTAAAAGAACAGGTCCTCCCTCATGGCCTTGGGATTAAGTTTCTGCGCTATCACAGCTACAGCCTGCGTTAGATTCCTGGCCAGGGAACTGGCCAACATTCGGCAGAGCAGAACCCCTGTCTTGCCTACTGCTCCCCTTAGCAGTGTATTTCAGTAAATCTGCCTATTCTGCTTCCCCACTGACTCTGATGAATCCTCTCACCACCTATCCCTTTACCTATGTCCTATACCCCAGTTCTATGCAAAAAAAAAAAAAGTAAAAGAAATAAGAGGGAAGTGTGTTGGTTGATTTACAAATATGTAATAAGATTTCCCATCGCCTTGCTTTCTCCATTGACAATTGGTAAACTATTGTTTCCTATGAGCTGGCCACTCATGGGCAACTGTCATCTATTTGCTAACTACAAGTCACAGCAGGGCATTCCTTGACTACCTGCGGAGTATAACCCATATCATGAGGCAGGCCTGGGGATGCCGAGGCTGCTGTTGACCTGGCTACATGACTGGTGGTCTGGGAAACTCTGCCTGTTAACATCATACTTTGCTGATTCAAATGGCTTTTGATGTATAGTCACAATGTCCCCTTCCTTGTCCCTTGTAAAACTTTGTCCCCTATTCCTCATATCACTGTCACATGATCAGTTTTTACTAGCTTCTATGACTTCAGTAAATGGTACAAGAGCTCCTGTTCAAGTAGCAGAGTCTTGCCTTGCAAACCTGCTACACCACTGCCATGTCCCTCACCCCACTCCAGCTGTAAAGTGGCAACAAAATTCCTGTTGCAAAAAAGTAGGGTTCCTCCACCCAGTGAAGAGATGCTGTATGTACCATAGCCCACAGACCTTCGAGTCTGTGGTATTTGTGACTTTCACACAGCAGGCGTGCGGTCTTTTTTTCTTACTCTCCTTCTGTTTTCTTTACAAAGCAGATTGGAAAAGCCAAATACTGCATGCTTTAAGTAAACCAAAAAAGGGTCATTTGGCAAATTTTTTTCCCCTCTCTTAACATTACCTTTATCTCAGAGACAATTAAGAAGCCATATAAAAAAATACCACTGGTCAGCTAATTACATATTAGGTGACCATCAGAAGACTCCAGTAACAAGCAGCAAAAATCCAATATTAAAAAAACAAAAACAAAAACAAAAAAATGGGCCCTCCCTAGGTTAAAGCCCAGCACTAAGAAGCTAAAGCCACTTCAGCATGAGTTCGACCCCCACCTACCCTGGAGGTAACCCACATGGCAGACAGACCTCTCCTGACCCGCCCGCTGCTCCCCTCAGCAGTGTACTTTGTTGATCTGCCTGTTCTGTTCCTAACTCTGTCTCTGGTGAATCCTCTCACCCACCATACCTCTGGCCTGTACCCCAGTTCTGTAAGCATAAATAAATCTAAAAAAAATTTTAAGTAAAAACAATTGGAGGAAAAATAATGCATCAAGCTTTTTCAGTGAATTGAGATGTCCAGGTCTCCTGACAAAAAAGTCTTGCCATTTTGCTTCTTAGTAACTAAAAAAAATTTTTTTTCTAAAAATGTTATTCAAAGTTCATTTACAAAAAAAAATGTTATTCAAAGTTCATTTACAAAAAGTTCATTTCTAAAAATGTTATTCAAAGTCCATTTATTTTAAAAATGGTTATAAAAATAATTGCATGGGACTGAGTTCTCATCAAAACAGCACCAACACACTGCAGCTAGCTGGTGGGGGCTGCCCCTGGTCTCAGCAAGTGGCTGCCTGGACCTTTGTTCTAGTGCTGAGACCACTGGCAGGTCTCCTCTAACTTTTAGCTCTGGGAAAAGTGGACTCCCCTTTTGTCTACCTTAACATACTGGTCTGGCACATTCTATGGGTAAAAAAATGTATTTCCCTACAGAATGCTTATTGGTTGAGTAAAAACTTCTAAATTGCTTATTGGGCCTGTAAAACAGTAAGTTTCTTTTTAAAATTAATAAACCTGATAAAACCCATAAAGTAGAACCACTACTTTCTTTGGGCTCAATTCCAAACCTCAGATTTCTGATGAGTCTAGAAGCAAACAATGAATTTTGCTAAACAAAAACTAGTTCAAAATGTAATGGTTTAATCAAAAGCATGTATGCCTTAAGGTTATAATGTTTAACTTTTCATGTTTATTCTATGTTTAAATGTGTTAAGAAAACTTATGGTACTCAACAAAAAAAGAATAATTAACCTGGCACAAAAATATACTTGCCTTTTGTTTATTCCAAAACTTCTCTTCATAGAGTTCCTTTCCAGAACACCCCCACCCCCACCCCGCCATTTCCCCTACAGAGTATAGGCCATATCGCGAGGCAGGCCCAGGGCCGCCTAGGCTGCTGTTGATCTGATTAAGTGACTGCCTCCATGGTGGTCTTGGATAACTCTGTCTATGATAACCACCTTACTGACACAAATGGCTTTTGATGTATGGTCATGATGTCCCTTATAAAACTTTGTCCCCCATTCCTATCCTACCATCTGAATTTTACTCTTCATACCATTGTTACATGATCAGCTTTTACTAACCTGCATGGTTTCAACTAATGGCACAAGAACTTCTGCTCAAGTAGCAGAGTCTTGCCTTGCAAACCTGCTCCACAACTGCTGTGTCCTTCAACCAGTTCTAGCTGCAAAACCAGTTTTTGTTGCAACAGTAAACAACTGCAACTAGTGGAAATCTAGCAAAGACTACTAGACAGCCTTGCTACTACAACTGTGCAGATTGGGGGGTACTCCTGGACCACCAAACTTGCATGCTCTAAAGAGGTTTCATCATACCTCATATGAAAACAAAGCATACTCTCAGTATGAAATAACTTTACTAGAATAATGTGTGTAGAGAAGAAAGGATAACAATTTTCCAACAAACACCCAAAGTTACTGTAGCACCATCAAGGCACAGTGCAGGTTTCCTGTGATGGGGGCAGCCAGAAAAAGGGTGAGTCCTGGAAACCTTGGTGGCTTTTTCAGGCTTATAATGATTGTTCTCCCCATTTGTATTAAGGCAGCCATGCACTGGAGGATGGCAGGCCTCCAAGCCCAGGGCAAATCTTCACTCTTTCCGGGCTCTCTGGCACTCATGTATTCTCCTGGTCTCCCCACTGTTCTTCACTGCACTCTACCCCTAGTGCCTCTACTGCCTAGTCCTCTGGTCTTTGCTCTGTACCCTCCTATAATCAGCCTCCCCACTCCGGTGTGCCCACTCATGCACCTCCCCTCACCACTCCAGGTGCTGCCATCAGACACGCATACAAGACTTCAGGTGTGGACACTGATGCTAATGGCGGGAGGGCAGAAAACCTGCTCACTTCCATTTACCCTACAATTTACCCTCTCAGGGTTTTTGGCCGTACAGTCTACATAATAAGTTTCCCTCGGTGAATATCAACATGGCAGCCATGACCCACAAAACAACAGAATACAACTGAGTACAACAAAATACAACTAAGCCCAGGCCGGGCACCAACCTAGGAGCAGAAAGACAAAATGGTTATTGGCACCAGCAGTTGATCCAAGTCTGCTGCCGAAGGTGCTGCTTGGGGAGGAAGAACACTCATGGCATCCACGCACACATTGGGAGCTATCAGGCCACACCCTGCATCCAGCCCAGGATGCGCTCACCCAGTCCCCAGGGGTACTCACCGCATCACTCCAACACTGGGCTCTCAGTGTGACAAGCAGCCCCTGCATTCAATCCAACCCTTTGTACCTGCACTTGGGCGGGGCCACCTGTAGATACAAGCTCCACACGTGGCCCTTCTGGGGTCCCCTCTCAGGCTGTCGTCATCACCCAAGCCATGTTCCTCAGCGCCTCACTCTTATTCAAAAATGAGCAGGTACCTCCCACAGGTGACTTTAAAAGGCTCCCTGCCTTCTTAGCATCCTTTCAGCACTTAACAACCATTCAGGGCTTCCTAACCTTGGCACCGGCAAGGCCGTATCTAACTTGGCTTTTTTTTATACATCTCCCCTGCTTAGCTGCAGAGAACCTCGCATAGGCTTCTTTATGCTACCCCTTAATTTTCATCTCCTGGAGTGTTGAAATTGCAAGTGATAGAGCACCCCCCCATCAAAGTTCCTCCACCTTCTGGCAGAACTGTTAGTCCATCTGTTTTTTCCTCCTGTCAGCATTGGGTGAGCCTCTTATTGCTGAATCGTGGTCCTCTTTCTTCCCTAAGGCGTCTGCTGCCTCGGGAGCAGCGGCTGATCCTAGCAAGCTCTCCTCCTCCACTCGAGGACTTGTTCTGCAGCTTCCGAGCCCTGTTGGCCTCCTATGTTCCTGCAGCATCTTTAGCTCTTCCCGCAGCTCCTGGACTTTTGCCATCTCCTGTGCTGCCATGGCGCTTCAGCGCTGTCACAGGCTCACAGCCTGCCACTCCTTGTCCCACCGGAAGTCTTCCCAGGGCTCCATACCCTACTGCATCAAAACACCTGCCGACTATGCCTCTGTAGCGCGAAGCCACAGAAAGGTGTTCTATGACCCAGGCAGGCGGGAAAAGGAGTCCTAGAGGCCCTGGTGGCTTTTCTCAGCCTTTATTTTCACACCATTTGTAGTGAGACAACCAGTAGCCAGGCAGGCAGGGGAGCAAATCTTTACTCCTCTGAGCTCTCCAGCCTCTCTCGTGAGCGCTCCACTCTAGCTCGCTGCCGCCTCCACCACCACATCCTCTGCTCTGCGCTTTGTTCTGTGCGCACTGACTTGCCCTTATATGCTCAGCCTCCCCGCTCAGGTGCGCCTGTTCACACCACCATCAGGTGCATGTGCAAGGCCATGGGCGCGGATCATTGATGTTAATGGCAGGAAAGGAGAAAAACCTGATCACTTCCATTTACCTTACTGTTACCCATCACCTGTGGGTAAATGCACAGCTGGGTTGGTGAGGCCTGAAAACTTGCCACAAAACCAAGGCATCTTCTGGCAGAAGGTGGCAGGAAAATCTAGGACAAAAGGAGCAAAACCAAAGTAGAAATCAAAATTAAGGCTGCAGTTTTCATCCTTCCCATTTGTCTCTTACCCATGTATTTCTTCCACGTGTCTTTGTATATCTCAACTCCTTGTGTCTCCTTTGTCCCCCAGATCCCTGGTACAAGCCCAAGGCTGAGAAGCAAGGATGCCCTTCACATGTCTTGCTGTTTCATGCCTCCTCCAAGTCTCCTGTATGTTTTCCTGGTCATTTAGCTCAACCCTTCATTAGTTGGGACAGGGGACACCCCCTTCCCAGCTCTGTAAGACTACCACCATTGGAGACATTTTTTAAAAAATCACTGTAAGGGGGTCTTAAAGAAAGGAATTCAAAGAATTATACAGTTCCCTCAAAATACTATAATCTAGATGCCCATGGTCACTAAGTAGTTAAATGTGGGTTAATGCACGTCAAGTGTCCATAACAGTGCCTGGCACACAGCACTGTCTCAGAGTTGGCTGTGATTAATCGGTCTCAGCCTCCCGCATGCGTGTTCCTGTCCATTATATGATCTCCTTTGAGTGCTCCTCAGTTAAGGCTTTCACATGTGTAATAAAGGCCTCATAATTGTATATGACTTTAATTTTCATCCTTAAGTTTGACCGCTTGGTGCCCTTTAGGCTTAACAAAGGTTATCAAGTTGCTCCGAATCAATGCTTCCAGCGATTTTTTTGTTCAGTTGATCCTTTTTCATTGATCGAGAAAGCTGATAAGAATGTCTTTTACGCTAAATGTTGGGGGTGGGAAGGAAGGTCACGGTACATTGAGTAACTTCGACAATTCTCAGGTAATTCCACCGCTCGCACCGCAGGGGTGTCTCGACCTCTCAGGCGTCACTGACGCCACAGCGCACGCCAGCACGCGACCAGGCGCAAGGAAATGACGTCAGGTCGGTGTGGGACACGCCCTCCGAGCACCATGCTGGTCACGGGGCTCGTTCGGGGTCTGCGAACCCTGACATGGAACGGGCTGCTGGGCTCCAGCAGCCGCTCGCTGGCTCTGGCGCGCGTCGTGGGCGCGCCCGGCGCTGGGGACTGGCGAGCCAGTGTCCGGCCCGGGCCCCGCGGGCGTCCGCTCAGCCTGTCGGCGGCCGCGGTAGTGGACTCGGCGCCCCGCCCTCTGCAGCCCTACTTGCGCCTTATGCGGTTAGACAAGCCCATTGGTGAGTGTGGGTGGGCGCGCGGGCCTGGGTGCTGCGGCCGCGATGTAAAGAAAAGCCCAAAAGCCGGCGTCCAGGCGCGACAACGCGCTTTGTGGGGGATTTTCCACCTCTCGGAATCCTGAGCTCTCGAGGCCGGGTGGAAGTTCGCTCATTCCACAGACTTTGTTTAAATAGTCCGTCGAACTTAAGTTCCATTTCTTTTATCACGATTGTTGGTCGACATTAGTCAATGTATCCTGACCTTCCCACCCCCAACATTTAGCGTAAAAGACATTCTTATACAGATTTACAGTGTTGAGGCACTTCCATGTTCATCGTATTTGACCTTTACCCTAAGGATCCTAAAGCTGGTAATTAGCACGACTAAGCCTTCTCGGCAGAGTCACACCAACTGAAGCTAGTGTTTTGATGCTCCCTTCTAGCTCTTTGGCACTTTTCGGAAAGCAGAGATTTAGTTCATTTGAATGCAACAGTTACAGCACTTCTGGATTGCCCTATCGGGCCATAGTTGCCAACTGAGGATGGAGTTCCCTCGTCGTCCTATTTAAAACATGTCTATCACTTGGTTTTATCTAACGCACTGCTAACTAATCTTTGCGTTTATTGGGTGATTGATTTCTTCGCTACTGCAGAAGCTCCACATATACGGGTTTATCTGTTCAGTGCTGGCAATAGTGTTGAATGAATGAATTAATAAAGTCCTACAACACAAGTTCCCGTAAGATGAGAGAACTGGGGAAACTGCTACTTTCAAGGAATTCCCATCCTTGTTGGGGAAAGAAAAAAAAAGGTAAACTGAGAAAGTATGCTATCAGTTATAATCGGTACGGATAGCAACTGCTGCTGGAGAAAGAGTAATTACTGTGTATCTCTATTGCTGGGAAAAGTTTCAAGAGCAAATTGGTGCTCAAAGGACAAGTAGATTTTGGATGGTGGGGAGAGATCTTGATTGGTGAAGGAAACATTTTTTTGCAGTTGAAGAGTGAAGTGTTGAATCACTAAGGATATGAGCTGATCTGGAACCAGGTAATGAAGAAAATAGTGGGAATCAAGACAGGATTAGAGTTGGACTGAAAAAGAATGAACATGAGGAAGGAGGGGCAGAGTGAATTCCAGGTAATTTAGATGACTTATTTGCTTATTGCACTACATTGACTTACATTTAAATACTTAGAAACATACCTTCTACCTTTGTTCAGCCAAAACCTCGAGTGACTGTTTTTGTTATTCCAGACATATGCATTACCTATTTGGGATCAGAGCACTCAGATTTTTAACAATTAAATTATAAAAGCAAGGGCCCTCCCTGGTGGCGAAACAGGTTAAAACACAGCACTATGAAGTTAGCCCAAAACCTCTTCAAGCACCAGTTCAATCCCTCAGCACACAGGTGTCCCCACCACAGAGGTGACATGCCACAGCAGACAGCAGACCTCACCTGTCTCACCTGCTGCTCCCCTCAGCAGTGTACTTCATCAGTCTGCCTGTTATGCTCCCCACTCTGTCTCTGGTTAATCCTCTCACCACCCCTGCACCTCTGGCCTGTACCCAGTTCTATATGCATAAATAAATTTATCTTTAAAAGTAAATAAATATAAAAGCAAATGGTAGTCACAGCCCTCCAACACAACCTCTTGCATTTTAGGACCAAATACAAGTTAATAAAGCATAAATTTCCATGCCTAAGTCTAATCTGAAGCCTAACTGTAGTTGTGTTCCTAAGGTCTTGTGTCACAAAGCAGCAGTATAGGCATCCAAGAAAGAACAACAACTGTCCTTTTTCCCGTTTCCACAGTTAAGCCTCCCTTTACTTCTGTCGGGTCTAGACCACTGCCACTGCATTGTAAGAGGCTACAGAGACTGAGTCATTATGTACTTGAAGGAGCTTGATTAAGTTTCTTTACCTCTCTGAACCATTATTATATTCTATGAAATAAACATTAATAATTGTGAATTTATAAAGTGGCATGAGAGTTCATTAATATATGCCAACCTTAGAACAGGGCTTGGCATAAATGCTGTAGAACTATCAGCCATTATTACTTGAAAAATGGGAATCATAGAAGATTGGGAGAATAGTTACTATGGATAGACTATACCAACTGAGTGCTTTGATTCTAAGATCATGAATGCAGGATTTTTTTTTTAAAGATTTATTTATTTATACAGAACTGGGGTACAGGCCAGAGATGCAGAGGCTGAGAAGATTCACCAGAGACAGAGTGGGGGGCAGAGCAGGCAGATCGAGGAAGTACATTGCTGAGGGGAGTAGCGGGCGGCTCAGGAGAGGTCTGCCTCGCCATGTGGTCGCCTCCGGGGCAGGCAGGAATCAAACTCATGCGGAAGTGGCTTAAGCTTCTTAGTGCTGTGCTTTAACCCGCTGCGCCAACAGAGAGGGCCCAGAATGCAGGATTTTTTTTTAGACAAAAGTAGTATATTACAATTGATTCACTAGACATCTTTTTGAGTTTCTACTGTGCATCAGGAACATTAAATTGACAGTAGAATTCCAGATTTGATGGTTATTTAAATCCTTTTGTGGGGTAATTTTATTTCATTGTTTTACTTTGGATGTTGGAATTTATTATCTTCATAAACCAAACTGGCTGTTACTGTTTTTTGGAATAAATTACAAGATCTTTCAAATACCACAAACTACACTATTTCAGGAAGATTCAGCAGGTGGCGCTTTTTCCAATAAATTGACAATGTACTTTCCATTTGAGTGCACTTGTACGTGATCCTATTGTCTTGAAAATAATGTGCAACTAGTTAGTGAGTATTAGACTAAATTTGCACTGGTATTTTGGTCTGCCCATCACCTTCAGAATTTGTTCATCTCCCAGAGTTTTTGCTTTTTGTACAAATGTTTCTTTCTGAAACTTACTTATCTCTTTGCGATCTCTGCATCTTTCTTTATGGAAAAAAGCATAATGAAAAGTCACAAGAAATGTAGAAATAAATATTGAGGTGTGAGAGGTCAAAGAACTATATGAATTAAAATTGTAGAGATTTAGGTTAATAGTGTTCCTCCCCTCCCTTAGTCAATCCTATCACAGATCCAGCTCTCCATGCACTTTTACAGGGCTCAGGATGACAGGAACTGTGCACAGGAGTCTGTATCAATGCCAGTGAATCAAATACAGGTTAACCGAGCTTCCCAGGAAATGTAACGATGTCCCAAGGACATAGACTGCAGCTAGACTGCCTGGGTTTAAATTCTAATTCTGCCACTATTTGTCTACTGTAGTGTAGTGTAGCCTTGAACAAATTATTTTCTTTGTGCTTTAGCTTCTGTATTTGTTAAATTGTGTAATAAAAATAGTGCCTGTCTCATATTTCTATAGTGAGAATCAGTGTTCTGTGACATCACCTGACATACAGTGGATTCATCATCACTGTCATTAATATTGTCATAACAGCTCTGAAAGCAAAATTTCTTTTCACTTATTTATGTACAATAAAGACTGAGCTTTAAAATTTATACATGTCTGCCGTCACTCCCTTTATTAATAGTAGACATGGTACTGGAACTCTTTCACTTCACCGCTATAGGAGCCTAAGATTTCTTAGTAAATGAATATAATACCTATAATACGGATTTATATTAAGGAGTTTTTTGTTCCTGATACAGTTAGACATGTTTCTGTCTGCAATTCTTTTTTTTTTTTTAAGATTATTTCTTTATGCATGAACCCTGGGGTACAGGCCAGAGGTGTAGGGATAGTGAGAGGCTTCGCCAGAGACAGAGTGAGGAGCAGAACAGGCATACTGACAAAGTACTCTGCTGAGGGGAGCAGCGGGTGAAACAGGAGAGATCTGTTGTGCCATGTGGGTCACTTCCCTGGCTGGGGATCAAACTCATGCTGAAGCAGTTGAGGATAGCTTCATAGTGCTGTGTTTTAACCCTTTGTGCCACCAGGGAGGGCCCTATAATTCTTTTTTAAATAGAAATTTAGTTCTGGTTATGCCAGGAAAATAGTGCCTGTGAAGTGGTTTCCTTTTTATCAGAGCAGTGTCTCTTCTGACCATCTGAACCATACTGGTGAAAGGAAAAAAAAGTAGTTAAACCCATTACACCATATTTAGGTCTCTCTGCATCTATTCCTCATCTCTAAAAATAGGGTGATAATAGTACCTGCTTTATAAAGGTATCATTGAAGATTAGTTTATACATATAAAGCACTTGGAACACTGATTGACATTTCAGGTAAGCTAGTGTTGTTACTGTCTTGGCTGGAACATATTGAGCATGGATCTGAACTGGCCAGTTCTTGTTTCCAACCACTCATTACTTTTAATCTACAGTGAGTTTAAGCCCCTTTTGGAAAACTTACCTGGTTTCTCCAGTTAAATGTATGGTAGTATTCTATGCCTTTCCTGCACTTTTATTTGACCTCTTGTTGAATTAGTTTATTGTTATTGTCGCTGTAAGAAGACAAAAACCAGCTCTCGGTCACTATAATACACTCAGTTACTAGCACAATTCTAGTGGAAAGTGTGTGCTTTATAAATATTTGTAAACAAATTAAACATATTGAAACTTAAAATAAGATTATAGGGACTTTGCTTAATCAATTTTGTCCTGGAACTGATCTTTCTTTAACCCCATGTCATTTTTCTCTTATACCTCTAAATAGGGAAGGAAAACTCAGAATTTGTCAAATAGGCACTATAGACAAACATTAGTTTTGAAAGTATTATCTGCTGCTGAAGTTCACATGTGAAGTCTTTTGCCATATACTGTATTTTGTTTTGACTGAATTTCATCTAGTTTTTGGGCTCAGTACCAGAACTAAACCCATTTGTACATGTAGCTGCCAAATATTCAATATAAAAAATGGCCCCCCAAAAATAGGTAAATAGCCTTTCTCCCCAAGACTATGTACTGTATTTAACAACAATAAAGGAAGTTTTTATTAGCCTTTTTGAGTAGGTAATATGTAGATGTAATTAAAATTCTGAAAGTATAAAAGTATAGAATGAAAACTAAGTCTCTTATCCAGTTTTCCCGGAGATAATTACTATTACCAATTTCAGCTGTATCCTTCCTGATATGGTCTATGTTCTTATTTGTTTTGCGTGTACATGCTTATATGTACACAGTAAAAAAATTCAAGTTGTCCTCCGTAAGGGTTGTTTATGAAAGTATCTCACATCTCTGTCACACTTTGGATTTTGCCTTCTTTTTTTTTAACTTGTATTATTTTTTATTGAGATAAATGATTTACAACATTGTGTATGACGTAGGGTATAGGTTTACACCTCTTCAGACATGTTAATTACCATAGGTAAAGATGTTATAGAAGCATTGCTTTACTGTGTATTCATAATTGATTATCTTTTCATATGTATAGAATTTATATTTCCTTTTTGGTGGACTCTAATTTCTAGGAATTCTACATGTTAGGGAGAATACTTCTTTGTAATATGAGTTGCAAATTTATTTTCCCAGTTTTTTCAAGTGTTTTTTACTTTGCTTTAGTGTTCTTTACTTCTTTGGAAAATGGTATTCTAAAAAATGAAGACATCTGAACTTGTACATTTTTTGTCTTTCTATTTTTGCTTAGGAACCTGGCTGCTGTATCTACCATGTACCTGGAGCATTAGTTTGGCAGCTGAACCAGGCTGTTTTCCAGATTGGCATATGTTATCCCTCTTTGGCATCGGATCTGTGCTGGTTCGTGGAGCAGGCTGTACTATTAATGATTTATGGGACCAGGACTACGATAAAAAGGTAGTTTTATCTTGCATAAAAAGGAACAAGAAGCTCCTCTCAATTTTGTACAGTAACACGGTCGTATTAATTTTTAATGAATTAATTGTCCTCACAGAAATCCCACATAACAAGTATCTAGACCAGTTGAAGAGCTGGTGATACAAAGTGAATTGTACTTGCTTTCTCAACGTAAGAGCCACCATGGAAGCAAGGTGTGTACTTCACTTTTACCAAGTAAATTAAGAATTTAAAAGGGTGAGAGTGAGATTGTTGAAAATGAAGGTAAAAAAAGTCCTTGCTGACACTGCGTGTCCAAAGAACTGCTGTCCCTTCCTTTGAGAAATACATTAGTCATACTTACACTGACCTAAATCAAATCTTAATGTAAGTGAGTCAAAGGACCCCTATTGGCATTTGCTATAAATATTTCTTTAAAAACATAGTTCTATTCTTAGAAAATAGAAAAATATTTATTCTGAAAATTTCAGGTTTTTCTTTGTACAGAAATGAGGAGAATAGAAAACACAAGTGCTTTTTGTCTCCTGTCCCTACCCCAGAGAAAACTTGAATTAACAGTTGGATACATTATATTCCTCTGGGTTTTTTCTAGTGTACATAATTTACTTTTTTCCCTCAAGATTGTTATTTTCTCAAGGGAAGGATCCATCTTGTTTGCTTTATATCCTATCAGCCTCCTCATTACACACTTGAAGTAATTTCAATAAACAGATATTAATAATTTGGCTTTGGTTTTACAAACTGTGTTTTGGTTCAATGAAAACCACATAGAATGTGTTTTGATCATTATGTCATTTTTACTCTTGGATGGAGTGCTTATTTTCAGCATTTAAATTTAGCCGTCATTATCTTGTACTCGCACTGCACTGGCTATGCTACCAAGCATCCATGGCGTGGAAGTTTACCGGGCCTTTCTTCCTCAATTTCCTGAAACTTAGAAATGGCAAGAACTTGTGAGTGCCTAAAAGACTCACAAGTTGTGGACAGACAATGTGGTATGTTGATCACACTTAAATACTGCCTGGAACAAATCTACTGATACAAATTTAAAATCAAAAATATATTTTCCACTTGAAACAAAAGGGACTAAACGAGGGTTAAAGAATTCAGTTCTGACTTTCTAACCAAGATAAGTCTTTACAGTTTTTGACATTTTTATCGTATAGTGAAGCATGCTACTTTTTTCTGCTAAGGGCTATATCATTTTTGTTACAACTACTCAGCTCTTGTGAAGCATATAAGCAGCCATAGACAATCAACAAAAAGATAACTCTTTTTCACTAAAACTTTATGGATACTGAAATTTGAATTTCACATTTTCATGTGTTATTGTACATTACTGTTTTGTTTTTTTTTTTAAAGATTTATTTATTTGTTCATACAGAACTGGGGTACAGGCCAGAGGCTCAGGGGCAGTGAGAGGCTTCACCAGAGACAGAGTGGGGAGCAGAACAGGCAGATCGATGAAGTACACTGCTGAGGGGAGCAGCGGGCGGGTCAGGAGGAATCTGCCACGCCATGTGGTCACCTCCGGGGCAGGCGGGAATCAAACTCATGTGGAAGTGGCTTTAGCTTCTCAGTGCTGTGCTTTAACCCGCTGTGCCACCATGGAGGGCCGTACATTACTGTTTTTTAAATTTATTTTTAGCCATATAACCATCTAAAAAAAGTAAAAATCATTCTTAACTCATATTCTGTGTAAGAGTAAGCAGTCAGCTGTAGTTTGCTAATAACCTTTTATATAAATCAGAAATGTATTATATTAATAATAGATAATATTTATTATATACTTGTATACCTCAGACATTGCATCTACTATATGAAGTAGATGCTGCTGGCTCACCCTCTCTCTTTTTTTCCCCCTTTAACAAGTAAGTAACTTAAGCTCATAGTAATTTGCCAAAATTACACTGCCAGTAAGTGGTGGAATTATTTCAAATAACAGAGTGTCTGAACCCAGATTCTGAATTATGTTAAATTACTGGTTATGTTCTTTATTTGTGGTTGAGTTTAGAATAATCCCATATTGTGATAGATTGGAAAGAAAAGAACAATTCACATATATTATTTGCTCATATAATCTCTTTTTCTGCCATTTTCTTACAGTGAGTTTGCCCTTTATATTTGGGAACAGTTAGTATACAATTACAGATTCATTCCTAAGTAGCCTGGCTAAAGCACTGTCAAAAACTCTTTTTTTCCCACATCTGATTTGATTGCAGTGCTCCTCTACTCAAAACATTCATATGATAGCATCCACTGCAATTTCCTCTTTTCTAAGAGTCCTCACTTGCTATACTGGTAATTAGTGGCTAGATAAGGAAGTTCTCTTTTGTTTGGCTGTGGGAATGGACAATGGAAAGAAAGGGAAATGGTGTTGGGAATTTTTAATTTTTTTAAACAAGTTCTTGATTTCTTGGCAGAACTTCAAATGTTGATTTCACCTTAGTGATTTATGGTTTAGTGTTTACCATGGATGAGTCTGTGACGAACTGTTTAAATAAGTGATTGAATAATTCTGAGGCTAAGCTACCTCTTTTGTGTGTCCTAAGGTTACAAGAACAGCAAATCGCCCAATAGCTGCTGGAGATATTTCAGTCTTTCGATCCTTTGTTTTTCTCGGGGGCCAACTGACCTTGGCACTGGGTGTACTTCTGTGTCTGAATTACTACAGGTATAGTAGGTACATTTTTCATAATCATGTGTAAAATCTTTCCATTAAAATGCAGGAAATAGGACTAAAGTATAATCAAACTCTCTTTATTACAAAGGGTTTTTTTTTTGGCTATATGTCAAATATGTAAATTAATGATTTGCTTCAAGAATACTTTCAGCCAGAGAAATTAGAAACTAGTATTTAATTTATTCTAAACCTCTTTCACTCTTGTACTACATGTTCCCTAGAGGGCACAAAGCATTTTCATAGGTTTTCTACTTGTGTACACGACTGTGTGCACACATCCATCTACATAATTTTGTATATGCTAAAATTATCTCTGAAGTGGGTAGAAGCCAAAGTGATTATGTTCACATTTTAATCAGTCATTTTTAAGGAATGACATGAAAATCAAAGATAGGGGAAAAACAGTGGAAGGACTCATTCCTCTCAAATGGGGAAAATAATTAAACAAAGTGCTTCAGTGCACGGGAGAAAAAAGAAGATATCAGCAGATAAGTGTACAGCTTTATAGACACTAGACATAATTGCTGCGGTCACATCAGTTACATGAAAATACTTGGCAGGAGATTCCTGGAGGGCTGGTGGTGGGTGAGCTTTGAGGTGCCTTAAGAACATCTTATTTACCACTTTTCTAAAGTTGTTTGGTGATCTCATTCTTTTCTAAGTAATATTCTCTCCTAGATAGTAGAGACAGTTAAATTGACTCTGATTCTGTTAGGACAACTCAGTTTACTAGATACCCTGAGTGGAAATAAACTTTAAAGAAGCAGTAGCATTAAGATGGGTAATAAATTGGACTCGGGAGCCAGGCTTATTTGGGTTTGAATCCGGCCCTGCTCTAACAGCTGGCAAATTATGTAATCTCTTTGTCCTTAAATTTCCTCATCTGAAAAAACAAGAATTAAAACTGCCTGCTGCTCTCTTAGGCTTGTGGTGAAAATTATAGTGCGTTACATACATAAAACATGTAGAGCAGTGCGTAATGCATGGAATCACATTCCCTGTGTTAGCTATTCATTTGTTTGGCTGTTTTGTAACACTTCAAATATTTTCTAATCATCCCTTATAATGAGCAAAGTCAAAGTCTAGGCAGAAAATTTTGCATAACAAAAAATAATTTTAAGATAAATCATTTTCCAATTAGTGTTATCATTCATTCTCTTATTTAATGATTTCTAAGAGAGGGTGATATTAATCTTTTTAATGTTTTTTCCTGATTTCAGTATAGCTTTAGGAGCAGCATCCCTACTTCTTATCATCATCTACCCGCTAATGAAAAGAATTACATACTGGCCTCAGTTAGTCTTGGGTGAGTTTGAAATAATTATAATACCTCCTTCGATACCTTCCAACTATATTTAGCTCTATATTATAGCATTATAAATATTTATATATAATAATACATATATATGTAATATGGTAGAGATAAAAATGTCATCAGTCATGAAATTTTTTTAACTGATTAGATTTTCATATTTTAAAGGAATATGATTATTTTATAGCCATTTTTATTGACTAAGACATTTTGTATACTTATTGCGATTATTATGATTATTATTTTCTGAAATTCTTTTCCCCTAAGACTTTATTTATGCATACAAGAACTGGGATATAGACCAAAGGTGTGGGGATGAGACGGTCTACCAGAGACAGAGTGGGGAACAGAACAGGTGCAATGACTGAAATACACTGCTGAGGGGAGCAGCGGGCTGGTCAGGAGAGGTCTGCTGTGCCATGTGGGTCACCTCCCTGTCTGGGGATAGGGTTTGTGATGCCACAGTAGCTGGTGATAGCTTGATAGTGCTGAAGCTTAGCCCATTGTACCACCAGGGAGGGCCCTGACATTCTCTTTTTAAAATCTAGGCATGTCATGAAAAAAATTAGCTGACCTTCACCCCACCTTGAGGTCTTTGGGGTTGGGATAGAAAGCACTCTTTTTTTTTTAATAATAGTTTAATTTTACATCATTTTGTGCCTTTTTCCATTTCATTTATAATCCTTGTGGACTTCCCATCACCAGTTCACCCGTCTGCT